CCTGGCAGAACAGATTAACAGGCTATTTCACTTCAAAGCAGACTGAATGTGACTTCATTTCAAGGCAGCATTAGGTACTGCATGGAAATAGGTCATTAAATTCTTATCAAAATATAACTTAGCAGTTTGCAGAATTTCCAGTATGGGACCTCCTAAAGAGAGCCATTCAATTCCAAATCAGTGTGGGTGACAAAGTGAAATTTAGAAGAGGTAAAGTTGTCTACTTGATATTTAACTCTTTATTAAGTCTTTCTTTAAATTTTTGCCTGTCAGTCTATATTGCTGTTTTATTATACATCCGTTTCTTTGTATAACTTGTGAGTTTCATGTGTTTTGTTTTATTATGTAAATATTATTATAAATAAACTTATTTATAAATCAAAGATTTGTTAATTTTTGGAGATTATACTTTCAAGACCTCCTGACTTCCTAAGTTTTTAAGGTAATATAATCCTCGACTTAGAAGGCTAGTGAAGCTCTTACATTGATTCTTCAGATACTGTGGACTCTGAAAGCTGATGAGTCAGTAGACTTAGCCAATCTTGCAAGTGTATTGAATATACTCAACACATTTTAGTGTAATGGGCTGAAGGGACCTGCAAATAGTATTAATACTCCTTCTGCATCACAGTACCCAAATCGCTTAGTGAAATGTTGAGAATATTCTAAAAATCGCATAATGGATTTCTCATAACTTTCCTGTACTAATGTGTCTTCAATGTCTTTTGTTGTTGTTAAATCCATATTTTTATTTTAATGAATGTAGTTGGGTTCTCCCTGTAATGCCATATTATGTTTTTGGCATAATAAAAATATTTGTGATCATAAGTTGTATTTTCGCACCCTTAGTAGTTTCTAAACTCTCATCCCTTTACCCTTAAAAATGCATAATATGGAAGGACTTCCCCGGTGGTGCAGTGGTTAAGAATCCACCTGCCAATGCAGGGGACACGGGTTCGAGCCCTGGTCCAGGAAGATCATACATGCCGCGGAGCAACTAAGCCCGTGCACCACAACTACTGAGGCTGCGTGCCACAACTACTGAAGCCCATGCACTCTAGGGCCCACGTGCTGCAACTACTGAAGCCCAGGTGCCTAGAGCCCGTGCTCCACAACAGGAGAAGCCATGGCAATGAGAAGCCCACGCACCACAATGAAGAGTAGCCCCAGCTCAGCACAACTAGAGAAAGCCCACGCACAGCAACAAAGACCCAAAAAGAAAAAACCATAATATTGAGCACAAAAGAGATGCTATTGTGTGCTTAATATCATCTCTTTCTCAGTAAACTGGTACTTATTACTTTGGGTGTATTCTCATTAGTCCCTTTATTGGACTGATGTCAGTAAATATCATAATCCATTGTCAGTAAAGAGCCTGTGAAGCCACAGTTGTTGGAGTAGTATCTTGGCCGACTGAAGCAACTTATGCTTTTGTTGATACAGGTCACACACAGATAGAAGACGTATGTGTTTTCATAACTGTATTTCTCACCCCATAGACTTGTAACTTTATATCAATAGATAATCTATGTTGAAACATTAATATTGGTCCTAGCTATTGCTGTTATTGTATAGTGGTTAGATAGGAGCATCAGGAGACTTGGTTTCCATTTGTGTGACCTTAAGCAAGACACTTAAATGGTCCATAAAATTAAGGAATTGATTGTTTTAACTTCCCAAAAGGTATGGTTATTTTTCTGATTATAATATGCAGTTCCATTTCTGCTCTGATTAATTCATGTTCTCTCACACTTGCTTACTGCTCAGTGAGGAGATGTTTAATTTAGATATAGGATGGGGTAATGGAATGTGTTGTCCTTTCAGTGAACAAAAGATGACCTAAAGGTTATGATGATGCTATGATTGAAATATTTCCTTATAAAACCTGCTGTGGTTGCATTTTCTATTGGAATTATGATAATTATATGTAAACAAGTGGGGCTGATTATCTTAGAGTTTTCATAATTTAGATAAACGTATCTATCAGTTTTACTAAATTCTGTTTTCAGTAAAGTTTGTCAGAATGTAATTATGTGGAGGAAAATGAACGTGCATAAGAGGGAAGAAAAGTTTCTACCTTCATTAGAGTATTATTTGAATTTCTTCTGTGAAAGGTAAGTTTTTTCTTTAGACTGCCTTGATGATATGATTCAGCGCTTTGCAAATGAGAGTCGTTTATAACCTATTGTCATTTCTTAACAGCCACTGACAACGGTAAGAAGATGTAATCCAAAGAAGCAAGGTACTTGGGAAATACACTGTTTTTCTGTGTAATCCTTAATAATGTGTACAGTATTTAACTTCCTTTTCCTGAATTTCATAGAGCATTGTTGGGAGGAAAGAAGCACCTTCAACAAGGTCACACTTAGATGGACTTGACTTTTCTTTCTTCCTCCCCACAACCTCTCCCCACTTTTTGCTTCTCAACTACATTCTCCTTCCTCTGCCCTGCAGTTCACGGATAAGGCCATCTAGTTTGTTAATGTGTTTCCTGATACAACATGACACACTAAGATTAGACTATTCAATATTAATAATATTAACAGGTAAATTGAACTAAAATGTGATGTTCCAATATAGTTATGGTTTAAAATAGGTTGGGATAATCTAAATATATAGTTATTTGGAAGATTTCTATATAAATGGTTTGTTTATATGGGCAGTTCTTGCACAGTAGTGTGGGACTGTAGAAATTATTCAAGTTGAAAGTGTGTAATCACTGGGGAAAATGATTCTTCCATGACCTTTAAGAATTTTGTCAGCACATTATAAATGTGTACGTGAACAAAATAGTACAACTAATATTCAGTACACTGTAAAATATTAGAAACTCTGAGGAAGTATTATTTTTGTAAAAAAATGTATCAGAGTAGTTTGAACAGTACCTTCCTATAAAACTTGCAACCCCCCCCTTTTTTTTTTTGTCTCTTGGTAAATAGTCATAATCCTAAATTTGGATCAGCTTCCAACATTTTATTGCTCTTTCAATGTCATGAAATATCCCTGTTCTTCTTTCTTTTTAAGTAGACTTTTATTTTTTCGAGGGGTTTTAGGTTCATAGCGAATTCAGCAGGAAGTACAGAGAGGTCCCGTGTACCCCTGCTCCCACACAGACACACCTTCCCCACTATCGGCATCCTGCACCAGAATGGGACATGCGTTACAATCAGTGAAAATGCGTTGACACGTCATAATCACCCAAAGTCCATAGATTACAGTAGGCTCCACTCTCGGTGGTGTACATTCTATGGGTTTGACAAATGAATCCATTATAGTATCATACAGAATAGTTTTACTGCCCTAAAAATCCATTTAAGTTTTCTCCATATCCTTTCATGGCTTGATAGATCATTTCTTTTTAGCACTCAATAATGGTCTCTTGTTTGCATGTACCCCAACTTACGTATCCACTAACCTACTAAAGGATATTTTGGTTGCTTCTAGTGGTTGATATAGCTGCCACAAACATTCATGTGCTGGTTTTCATGTGGACCTGTTTTCAACTCCTTTGGGCAAATACCAAAGAGTGTGATTACTGGATCATATGGTAAGAGCATTTCAGTTTTGTAAGAAACTGCCAAACTCTCTTCCAAGGTGTATGTGCTGTTTCGCATGCCTATCAGCAATGAAGAAAAGTTCCTGGGGCCCTACCAGAATGGGACATTTGGGTGGTGTCAGTATTTTGAATTTTTGCCCTTCTCATAGGTAATGGTATCTCCTTGTTCCTATTTGCAATTCCCTAGTGACATATGATGTTGAACATCTTTTCATATGCTTATTTGCCATCTGTATATCTTTGATGAGGTGTGTGGCCAGGTCTTTTATCCATTTTGTAATCAGGTTTATTTTATTGTTGACTTTTAAGAGTTCTTTGTGTATTTTGGGTAAAGTCCTTTTGCAAATGTTTTCTTCCTGTCTGTGGCTTGTCTTCTCATTTTTTTTTTTTGTATTGAAGTATAGTTGATGGACAATATCATATATGTTACAGGTGTACAGTATAGTGATTCACAATTTTTAGTTTTTTTATTCATTTTTACTGGAGTATAGTTGCTTTACATTGTCTTCTCATTCTTTTGATCTCAATTCTTCTAACGTGAAGGGTTTTTTGCCAGTCTCACCTCCTCTGGGGTATCTTCATCTTCTCATTTATGTCAATAAGTTTGCCTTCACCAAGTTCTTCTGGCTGCATATCTAGAGTCTCTTGAACTGCAACAGCATCAACATTCTCACAGCCAGCTCTTTCCATTTATGTTCAATTTGAATTTCCACCATTTTCACTTTTCATTTCTTTATTGCACTTTAATCTTTGTTGGTGAGTTCCCTTTTTCAAATATCCATTTTTGTAAAATTTCAAGTGGGTTTATCACTGAGAAACAACAACTTTGCTGTCTGTGCACGCATGACAGATGCACAGTGACCAATCACTAACAGATTTTGAAAGAAGTGGCATGATTGCTCATATATCTATCTGTTATCTACATAGTGATTTGTGGACTGAAGAGCTAGCAGCAAAGTTTATACTTTATGCAGTTACTCAGTTAATATAGCGTGGAAACTGAAGTCCAAACCTTTTCAGGGTTTGTTTGGTTTTTTTTTTTGGAAAATGTGTTATGTAACTAAACCATTGTGACTGAAATTCATGCATGTCAGAACTAGTGCAAAGCGAAGCCTGCCTGTATTGGAAACTATTTTTCTTCAGTTATAAATAATGTGAAGCTATTCTGAATAAAAAGGATACTGGAGGGCTTCCCTGGTGGCGCAGTGGTTGAGAGTCCGCCTGCCGATGCAGGGGACACGGGTTCATGCCCCGGTCTGGGAAGATCCCACATGCCGCGGAGTGGCTGGGCCTGTGAGCCATGGCCGCTGAGTCTGTGCGTCCGGAGCCTGTGCTCTGCAATGGGAGAGGCCACAACAGTGAGAGGCCCACATACCGCAAAAAAAAAAAAAACAAAAAAAAAACTGAAGATACTGGAAACAAAACCCTTTTCTCCCCCACCCTTTTTTCCTTTTTTTTCTTGATAAGCAGAATATGGCAGAAGTGCAAGTCTTGATGGAGCTGGGGAGGGGAGTGTGCAGGTTATGCAGCACGCTGATGTAGCTTCATATCTGACGAGAGTGATGCTGTGAAGAATAACGAAGTTTGGAGGCAGCAGGCATCACCTAGAGTTTGGTTTGGGGCCTTCTCATTATCCAGTTGGCTATGGCAGGAATGCTTTGGACTTTCTTACGTAATGTCACCAGCCTGGGATGGTTGTCCAACAAATCAGGTTTAAAGACCAAAAGTGTGGTACTGCAAATTTCCCAGTAGAAATCTGCCCAAGTTACCTAGTTTAAGGAAACAAATTTTCATTAGAACATAAAAGGCCTAACTTCTTAATCTAAAAATAGTTTATTTTTAATTCAAAATAATGTTATTACAAAAGCAGAATGCGTGTATTATAGAAAATTATAGATAACACCATACTCCCAACACACAGAGGTTACTCACATTAACACCTCTGTATGTGGTATTTTTTTATGCATGTGTGTGTATTTTTACTAAAATGAGATCTTACAGTACATGCTCTTTTGTAACTTGATTCAATCTCCATCTCCCTGTGACAATACATTTTCATCTCATTTAACACACCATCATTACTTTTCCATCTGTTCCAAAAATGTCCTTTATAGGATAAAGCAGGATCCATTCCAGGACCATGCATTTCATCTGGTTATGTCCTTTAACTCTCAATTCAGAACAATTTTCCTATGTCACTGAATTATTGAAGATTCCACACTAGTCCTGCAGAATGTCCTGTCTTCAGGATTTTTATGATTATTTCATCGGTTCCTTTATATGGCAGAGTAAAAAGGAAGAGAGTGCAAGTTATCTTTAGAGAGTTCATAGTTTCAAGTTACATATTTTTGGCTAGCATACATTATATTGAATCACATCAGAAGACATGTCTGACCATTAGTGTAACCCTAAGAGTGGCCACTGCACAGTATTAGGATGATGGCAGCATAGGCCTACTCTTGTATACCTGTTTTTTTTTTAATTTGTACACTTGTTTTGTTTTTTTATGACTAGATACTAATCTGGATGACATTACTTTGCCTCCATATAAATCAAAGAATGAAGTTTAAATATGGATTATTCTTAGTTTTCCTTTTGTTTGGAATTTAATAATGCTGATTTCTAGTGTTTTATGAACTTGCTTACTAAACACCTGTCAACTAGGAGAGTCTACTGGTTAGAGGATTCAGAGTTCAGTCAACAAATATTTATGGAGTACCTACTATGTGCCCTGTACAGGTCTAGCTCCTGGGATTGACTAGAGAGCAAGATGTGATGCAAGCCCCTTCTCTGGTGCAGCTTTTACTTCAGAAGCAGGAAGACAATCGTCAAGTGTGGTACGGGGGATCGGCCAAGATGGCGGAGTAGAAAGGCCCTGAGCTCACCTCCTCTTACAGGCACACCAAAGTCACAAGTGTCTGCAGAACAGCCATTGATGAAGTAGACCAGAATCTACCAGAAAAGATCTTCTACAGCTAAAGACATAAAGAAGGAACCACACGAGATGGGTAGGTGGAGCTGACTCACAATATAATCCAGTCCCTTACCCCCAGGTGGGCAATCCACAAACAAGAATACTTATACTGCAGAGGTTCTCCCATAGGAGTGAGAGTTCTAAGCCCCATGTCAGGCCCCCCAGCCCAGGGGTCCTGCACCAGGAAGACAAACCCCCAGAGCATTTGGCTTTGAAGACCAGAAGGACTTAATTTTGGGAGTTCCAAAGAACTAGGGGAAATAGAAACTTCACACTTAAAGGGTGCCCATAAAATCTCACACCAGGACCCAGGGCAAAAGCAGCAATTTAATAGGGGCCTGACCTACTTGCTGGTCTTAGAGAGTCAAGGAGGCAGCTGCAGCTCAAACTAGAGACATAGAAACTGGCAGCAGCCATATTTGGCAACTTTCTGCCATGTCGGCACCATTGTAGGATCCTCCCTCCAGCTCATGAGTGCCAAGACCTGGCCCCATCCAACAGCCTGTAGGCAACAGTGCTGGGGAGCCTCAGACCAAAGAACTAACTGGGGGTGGGGGTGGGGTGGGGGAGGACGCAGCCCCACACATCAACAGACAGGCTACCTAAAGACTTCCGGAGCCCAGAGCCACTCGAGACATGCCTCTAGACCTGGCCCTTCCCACTAGAGGGCCAAGACCCAGCTCCAGCCACCAATAGGCAGGTGCTGGCCTTGCGCTCAGGAAGCCTGCATTAGCCTCTAGACCAGACTCATCCTACAAGCGGGCAGACACCAGATGCAAGAAAACCACAATTCCACAGCTTCTGGACCCAGCCTGCCCACAGCAGGCCAGACCCTGCCCTGGGACCAGCTGGGCCCTGGCTCTGCCCACTGGCAGGCCAACACAAGCTGTGGGACACCCCAGACCCCAGACCCAACTGTATCAACTGCCTCCCCCCCCTCCACAGCAATCTGACACCAGCTGTAGGATCCCTGGGCCCTGCAGCAAGATTCCCACATTCCAGGACCAGTTGTGACTGTCAACAGTCCAGCACTAACCCCTGGACCTAGCTTCACCCACCAGTGGACAGGAACAGCCACGGAGTCTTCTGGATCCCGGCTCCATCCACCAGTGAGCCAGCACTAGCCCCAGGACCCCCTGGGGTTCTGAAATCAGCCCTCTTGTGACCAGGCCCCACTAACCAGCAGCCTCCATACAAGGCAATGCCTGACAACTAATAAGACTAGGGACAAACCAAGCCTACCAGACCACCCACATAGCCTGCTGGCCACAACAGAAAGACCCTCACAGCCCTCCTGGGGAAACCCTAGAGCATATAGCTTGGGTGACAAAAGTGGAGTGCCCTGCTGGGACGCATAGGACGTCTCCTACAGAAGGCCACTTCTCCAAGTTTGGGAAATGTAACCTACCAGATACATAAAAATACAAATAGCAACTTAGACAAAATAAGGCAGCAGAGGAACATGCTCCAGACAAAGGAACAAGATAAAACCCTAGAAGAACTAAATGAATGGAGATAAGCAACCTACCCAAGAAAGAGTTCAGAGTAATGATCATAAAGAAGATCAGTGAACTCAGAAGGAGAATTGATGCACAGAGAAGTTAGAAGTTTTTAACAAAGAGTTTGAATATAAAGAACAGCCAAACAGAGATGAAGAATACAGTAACTAAAATGAATACACTAGAAGGAATAAACAGTAGACTAAATGATACAGAGGAATGGATCAATGAGGTGGAAGACTGAGTAGTGGAAATCACTGATGCTGAACAGAAAAATGAAGAAAAATGAGGACAGTTTAAGAGACCTCTGGGAAAACATCAAGTACACTAATATTCGCATTATAGGGGTCCCAGAAGGAGAAGATAGAGAAAAGGGGGCCGAGAACATATTTGAAAACATAGTAGCTGAAAAATTCCCTAATCTGGGAAAGGAAACAGTTACCAAGTCCAGAAAGCACAGAGAGTACCATACAGGATGTGTGCTCCCAAAGAGGAACACACAAAGAGACATTGTATTTAAAATTACAAAAAGTAAGGATAAAGAAAATATTAAAAGCAGCAAAGTGAAGAGTAACATACAAGGAAACGCCCATAAGGCTGTCAGATGATTTTTCAGCAGAAACTCTGCAGGCCAGAAGGGAGGGGCACATTATATATAAATCTCTTATATATATATATAGTGATAAAAGGGGAAAACCTATAACCAAGAATATTCTCCCCAGCAAGCTCTCATTCCGATTTGATGGAGAGATCAAAAGCTTTACAGACAAGCAAAAGCTAAAAGAGTTTAGCCCCTCAAACGAGCTTTACAACAAATGTTAGTAAATTCTCTAGGCAAAAAAGATAAGGACACAACTAGAAACAGGAAAATTACAAAATGAAAAAGCTCACTGGTTTCAAACATACAATAAATGTAGGAAATCATGGGATTCCAGTGGTTAAGACTCTGCCTTCCAATGCAGGAGGCATGGGTTTGATCCCTGGTAGGGGAACTAAGATCCCACATGCTGTGGGGTGTGGCCAAAAAAAAAACTTAAAAAAAAAAGACAAAAGTAGTAAAATCATCAATGTCCACAATAAGCAGTTGAGGGATACACAAAACACCTAGATGCAAAATATGATATCAAAAACAGTAATCATGAGGGAAGGAGAGTACAATTGCAGTGTTGTTAAAATGCATTTGAAATTAAGAGATCACAGCTTAAAGCAATCATAAATATATACAGAGAGAGAGACTGCTATATAAAAACCTCATGGTAATCACAAACAAAAAATTATAATAGAAAAGAAAAATGGAATCCAAACATAACACTAAAGATGGTAATCAAATCACAAGAGAAAAGAAAAAGGGAAGAAAAACCTACCAAAACAATTGATAAAATGGCAATGGGAACATACATATCAGTAATTACCTTAAATGTAAATAGACTAAATACTCCAACCAAAAGATATAGAGTTGCTGAATGGATTCAAAAACAAGACTCATATATATGCTGCCTGCAAGAGACTCACTTCAGATCTAAAGACACACAGACTGAAAGTGTGGGGATGGCAAAAGATATTCCATGCAAATGGAAATCAAAAGAAAGCCAGAGTAGCAATAGTTATATCAGACTTTAAAGACTGTTACGGGCTTCCCTGGTGGCGCAGTGGTTGAGAGTCTGCCTGCCAATGCAGGGGACATGGGTTCGTGCCCTGGTCCGGGAAGATCCCAAATGCTGCAGAGCGCCTGGGCCCGTGAGCCATGGCCGCTGAGCCTGCGTGCCCAGAGCCTGTGCTCCGCAACGGGAGAGGCCACAGCGATGAGAGAGAGGCCTGCGTACAGCAAAAAATAAAAAAAATAAAGACTGTTACAAGAAACAAAGAAGGACAGTACATATTGATCAAGGGATCAATCCAGTAAGGAGATATAACAATTGTAACTATATATGCACCATGCACCCAACATAGGAGCACCTAAATACATAAGGCAAATATTAACAGACATAAAAGGAGAAATTGATATTTATAGAGCATTCCATTCAAAAGCAGCAGAATACACATTTTTTCCAAGTGCATATGAAACATTCTCCAGGATAGAACACATGCTAGACCACAAAACAAGCCTTGGTAAAGTTAAGAAAATTGAAATCATATCAAGCATCTTTCTGACCACAATGTTATGAGGCTAGAAATCAACTAGAAGAAAAAAACTGCAAAAAAAACACAAAGCGTGGAGGCTAAACAATATGCTACTAAACAACTAATGGATCACTGAGGAAATCAAAAAATACCTAGAGATATATGAAAACAAAAA